TTTCGAACTCTCTTACGAATCTAAAGTAATTGCGGTGTCTTCCATCGAAGAAGGGAAGTTCTACCTTTGGCAACTCTAATCCAACTACCGGTGTCCTGGGCCTCAATTCCTTCCCAGATACCTCTAAGTCCTCGTTCAAACTTTGTTCCTGAGTGCCTACTATGGGTGACTTACAATAATAAGTATCATACATAACATCATGCTTATTGGAGGGTGGACCCATGAAGCATCATAAACGACTTGCCTTGCATTTCGGGATTCTTCATGGGCTTCTACCCTCTTCGTGTTTGTTTTCTTTCAAGAGCTCATAATTAATTGAAATTTAACGGAAACGATCAGAAGATCGTTTTCCAAAATACAGTTTGATCAAGGTTAAAGATAAGTAATCCAAAGTTCTTCTTCCAGGAAGTTTGATGTTGTAAACGATGAAAATTCCAAATGTTTCCTTGTTCTTCGCAATAGTTGGACTGTAGATGGATTTTCTACCCTAGCAGTTCACTTTGTTTCCAATAGGTGCAGGTTGGCACTCGACGTCCCGGAACCAATAGCGAAACACAATAATTCTGGGAGAAATCGGTCTTTATTAAATATTAAATGGAAATACAGACATCTACCCAACTATTGTTACACCTTCCAATTCACAATTACCACAATGGGTATCCGATTCCAAAAGAATAAGTGCTACCAGTTCTTACTGCTACGGTATCAAATCCAAATATGGCTGTAGCCATATTAAATATCAAATTTAAACAACATATGTACAGTTCAGAAGCAAACATAAAAACTTCAATATAAGTACAAAATATAGAAATAATAACAATATACAATGATAAAATCTCAAAATGGAATCAAATAGAGTACCAAAATGTCAACAGAAACAGTCATTCATATCATAACACAAATGTATATAAATGGAGGGACAGTTCAATTGTTCCAGGTTCAGAGCAACCTTCTGCATCTTAATTGCTAAATCCGTCAATTGTTCCGGATCACTGTAGTCCGCATTCCCAGTTCTAAACAAGTCATCCAGAGTTTCACGAGCTATTACATGCGATTGTCCGAAGAGCTGCTTTAAAATAGCCTTAGCTCTTTTATATCCCACTTGGTGTTCCATTATAAGGCATCCTTCAATCGCATTTCTTGCTTTTCCTTTACAGTAATGAATTAAATATAATAAACGCAAATTATCATCCTTTACTCTAGGTTCTATAAACGTTTCGAACTCTCTTACGAATCTAAAGTAATTGCGGTGTCTTCCATCGAAGAAGGGAAGTTCTACCTTTGGCAACTCTAATCCAACTACCGGTGTCCTGGGCCTCAATTCCTTCCCAGATACCTCTAAGTCGTCGTTCAAACTTTGTTCCTTAGTACCTTCTAATGATGACTTACAACAAAATGTACGAAGCATAATATCCTCCTTACTAGAGAGTGAACCTTTTAAAAATGAATTTTCATAATGGACTCGCCTCATATCCAGCGATTCTTTAAGGACTCCATCTCTCTTCGTGTTTGCTTTCTTACAAGAACTCATGATTAACTGAAATTCAACGGAAAGGAAACAAGAAAGACCAAATATAAAATTTCACCATTAAAGCTTCTTCAGCAATGAGAAATCCACAAGGACCAAAAGATTGTTCTCCAAAATATAGTTTAAAAAAAGTAAATGATAAGTAATCCAAAGTTCTTCTTCCAGGAAGTGTTTCGAGATTGTAAACGATAAAAAATCCGAGGGCTTCTTCCTGTTTCTCTTGTTTTGAACTGTAAATGAACTTTCCACTCTAGCAGTTCACTCCGTCTCGAACAGGTGTAGGTTGATACGCGATCACCACCAGTCCAGGAACAAAAACACGGTTCTATTAATCGATAAAATGGAAATACAGACATTATCAAAACAATATTACACCTTCGAGTTCCAAATTACCGCGACTGGTATCCGTTTCTGGAAGAATAAGTGCTTCCAGTTCGTTACTGGTAAAGTATCAAATCCAAATATGGCTGTAGCCATATTAAATATCAAATTTAAACAACATATGTACAGTTCAGAAGGAAACATAAAAACTTCAATTTAAGTACAAGATATAGAAATAATAACAATATACAATGATAAAATCTCAAAATGGAACCAAATAGACTACCAAAATGTCAACAGAAACGGTCATTCATATCATAAAACAAATATATATACATGGAGGGATTTTCCAAAAAACGAAACCTTCAAAATAAATTCTACACAGACTATGTAGGTATTCTTACTTTTTTGATGACTCCCGTTATGACTGGGTACTCTACTCATTTGTCAGTTTTGTGTGGTATTTTTTGGGATATTCATCCAATATTCTAAGAGATTTATTTGTCAATTCATATTGGTTAATTTCTTCTGGTTTATTTTTTGATCGTTCTAGATATGACTGCCACGTGCCTCGATGTTTTTTCTTATTGGTTGTCCTGACTATCAATGTCACTTAAAATGTTGTTTCCTATTGGTCCACTTAATTGTCAATGTCACAGACTTCAACGTTGTTTCCTATTCGACCTATTTGTATAAAAACGCATTATCCGTAACGTTTTGTGACCCGCACCCGGATCCTCAGTCCGGGATCCTGATCTTCTTCTGGACTAGGACCTTGTACTTTCTGGATGCTTGAAGATTATAGGTTCTACTTAATGAGGGGGTTTTGGGACACTCGGATCAGAGTAGCATGTCCTGTCCACGGATCCTCGCTCTCGTCTTTCGACCAAGGCAAACTCGTAATAATCCAGGCATACCGAGCGACATGTAAAACGGTGCATGCGTAACAGATATATCCTATGCGACTCAGTTGCAGGACACCTTGCCATTACTCTACCTGTAATTCTTTTAATACTGCGTAAGTTTGTTTACTGGTCTTGTTTATGATGGGGGAACTTTTACCATCCTTGCTTTAGGACTGCTTCATCCATGGTTGTTATTAAAGCCAGGACTTGAATGCAATTCAGAGCTAAGAGGGTAATCTATCTCCTAGTTTTCCCTTGGTAAAAGCCCTTGGATTTTTCGTTACTCAAACAGGGAAAGGTAATTGATCATCTCACTTTTTAATATGGGGTACGATTGGTACGGGGCACTCGAAATCAGGTCAAGAACTTCTTGAGCAATTGAAGGAGAATCGACAGAGCATAAGTATTGATATGAATTATTGTGCCTCTGATTGTGAAAGTCACTGCGGTCAATTTCTTGGGGTCAGTATTTTGTATTTATGGCAGTGTCTATTTCTACAGGAGATGTATTGCACTTACTTTCACAGCTTTCATCCTGAAGTGAGTATGGTATGGTATATAATAAAATTATAAATAGTAGACAGTAATTTTAACGAGACAGTGTGCAATAAAAAAATAACGGGCGCATGTGTTATCCTATCAGGAAGTTTAGTCTCAAGGGGAAAAAACGTAATGGTTCGCATATAAAACGTAAATTTAAGGTCTTAATTTAATCCGCTTAGATATGTATTTCAAAAGGAAGCAGCGCATTTGTAGTAGTATAATGAAACAAGATATAAACCCGGATGGGAAAAGCGACTGATTTGGGGAAGGCAATATCCATTTGTAAAACAAACTTATTCTTGACCGTCTTCTAAATTTCTTAAATTTCTCAAAACGTCCAGACCATGCCATATTTCCGGATCCCGGACTTCTATTTTCTACCTTAATTTCAGGATGACACTCTGCTCCATATCCAGTGCATGTTAATTGCAAGTTCACCATTTGTAGTGCACTCCATAGAAGGTCTTTATTCATGACTTCTTCAGCAGCACGGTGGAGTGCTTATGTTATAACTAGTAAAAACAAACTTTTAAACATTTGAAATAAGGTAGAATAGGATGACTAAATAAGTAAATACTCACCTGAGATATGATGTTTTAATCCTAACTGATGTATTCGGCTACTTCGTAACTAACTGACTAACCTAGGCTGTCATGATAAATTTATGGATATCTTTAATTTTTCTGCTTATCGACCGAGGTATTTTTTCAAAAGAACGAACCTCCAAGCTGAAATTTTTGGTGACCTTGTTGGGAGATCATGAGTAGAAAGAAGTGCCTGGGAATGCTTCCGTCAGTCGTTAACTGGCCAATGACTTCTCTCACACATAACACTTCTATTTCTGAGCTGCGTTGCAATTTGACATGGGGTAGCTGGTCTGACCCCAATCAATCAGTTAGGTCTGCACGTTTCACAGATTGTAGTATGGTCCAGAAAGATCACTAGTAAACGCACCAGGCTCACTGTGCATGTTGAATTTGCGCGCTAAGGACCTCAGTACTTCAAGGAACTGGAAGCGTTGTTCTTTTGCACTGAGCTCGTGGAAATCGGCGTACGTATTTGAGGATTTGGATTCTATAGTACCAGGTCAAAATGGCAGGATACAAAAGGCGACTGGTTTGAAAGTTCCGACATCGGAAGAACGAAATAATCAACTCACGGAAAGATCTGAAGATAAAGACAATGTCTATGTATGTATAAATAAACCGATATATGTACGGTGTTACAATAAGGAACAGACCCATATTTTCTAATTGATGTATCATGCTTATCAACAAGGATACCATAGATATTAAGGGCAAGCAGCGCTTTTTCCCTTAATTACCTTTTTAATCAAGAATACAAAAACCCAGTCGAACCGTAAGTCAGGAATAATGGAGATCGAAAGTACATTCGGATGATAGATGTTGCATTCAAAAATGAGTGATCTACGCTGGCCAGTTATGGCTAAAGGACGACCATCACAGCATAAACATAGGCTACTTGGTGTGGATAATTAACGGAACACGTTTAATTACAATGTACTCACTAAAAATGAATAGGACAGCAGCAATGTCGTAGACTTTCAGAACTATTTAGTTTAGAGATTTATTCACCTCTGCAGGTTTCGTTGAGGGGTAAAGGTTTAGTGAGACAGAAATACCGTTGCTGAAACGTTTTCCTACTCTTCTACATACAGCTTTGCAGATTGGATGCAACCTGGTTACGAAACTATAAGGACGCGCACTTTTCAAAAAACTAAATGGCTTCAAGGTAGCAATCCTCGTGTTCTCGTATTAGTTTGTCACGATGCTTTTACATTGTTCTAAAACCCTTGATTTGTTTCTAGAGATAACCGTCTATCCGTATATGTTGGTAATCTTCCCCCAAATACTATACAAGGTCATTTTGACTACATATTTTCTGGTTGCGATGTAGGTTCACTTACCTCTCTCATTTATAGTGTAGATAGAAAGTGTCAGATTAGTGAGAGACAAGCAAACAGACGAATTCAGGGGATATGCTTACGTAGATTTTAAAGATGAACAATCCTTGCGAAAGGCATTAACTGTCGATGGTGCGGTATGTGAATGGTCCTTATTTTATCTTGCCGTTTAGATTGTTGAAGGACACTCTTTGCGAGTAAATCTAGCCAGTGAAAGACCTGGTCGTGGTATGTTGACCCATTTTCTGTATTTTTAAGAGCTTTTTTTTGACCGTAACCTTTTTCAAGTGACATGTTTCTTGTCCTAAGCAATCGGTCGTGAGGAAATATTTTGTAATTCCACACAACAGATGCTTTAGTATCCGTATTAAGCTTAAAAATTGCTTTCCAAGTGTCCTAGAGATGAAATTTTCCATAACTGGATCATAAAACTATACTTCAAGTTAAATTGTAATAGATAAATACTTGTAACAAAGCTGGTAGTACAGCTGAACATATATCTATGGTAAACTGATGCTTTTGATTAGTGAGATTGTCAAAATAAATAAGGAATCTTATCTTTAAAGCTAAATCCCTACTGGTCTAGATATACATGTCGAAAACCCATGCAACTTTCAACTTCACAGGTGTTTCAATCAACACAATCTCAAATGAAATGGCGTCTTACATCTTATTTAGTCAGTTAAGTGTTCATTTTTGGCTTATAACGAGGCACCTCACAGAAATTAACATTATCGCAAATCCTAATTAAAAGATTAGTCTTCATGAACCTGTATTCTGTAGTCAGAAATTCCATCAGCAATTCATTAGTTTGTACTGTCGCATTCTTTGCTGTTCACATCTCACACTTTTACTCTCCTCTATAAAGGTGGTGGAGGTCAAGGAGGTCACTGGGGTATGAATAATGGGTTTGGAAATCAAGGACGTGGTGGTTTCGGCGGTCATGGACGTGGTGGTTTTGGCAATCAAGGACGAGGTGGTTTTGGAAACCAAGGACGTGGTAGACCCAGTATGGGTGGTGGACGAATGGGTAAGTATATTGTGCTTGTATTGATATTCTTGTTTTACGTGATTACTAGGTTTGTCTTGCTATATTATGTTTCTATGTATACGGCAGCAAATTGAAGGGAGCTTATCGGTTTATCAGCTATAACTATTCTAAAATTTCTCGGTATTGTGTGAAGTTCTCATTTTATGAATATGTTACTGATTAGTAACTACGGTTCATCTTTTTCTTATATACCATTGGTGCAGTTCCAGCTATTTTAAACCTATCATTGTTACGATGAATTGTTGCTGTAATCTTAACACCTTCAGTGTAAACTTAAGTTTAACTAATTATGATATATTTTAGAACCATGTATGACTTATACATACCTATATACAAATATTTCCGAGTAGCCAAAACACTTTACTGACTCAGACTTCAAGTGAATTATCGAAATGGGATAAACCATTGTTTTTGTCAATCTGGCATCATGTTTACAATCTGAGACTATTTAAATGTGGAATAGAACTTAATTTCTTAAATTTTAACCGTTGACCATTGTTGACTTTAACCGTCTTGATTTGATTAATTTACATGGTTAGCTATTTTTCACTCTTTCTGTTCTTTCAAATTCTAACCTAAATTTCTTGTCACCTTTCTCTTTTTAAATTTCTTTCAATGAATTATACTTTAATCCTCATCGCTCCGATTACTACTAATACTTCTACTCGCTCAACCACTGAGATTTGAATTGACAATTCGATCTTTCTGTGACGATGTGCTATGGCAACTTGAATAGATGTACGTCCGAACGAAGTTCTACGTTTTAGTTAACTGACTGATAGCCTTTTCTCTCTTAAAACCTTCATTAAATTTTTTTCATCCTTCTGTACGCCTTCTCTATTAACATTAAGTAATCCTATTGGAAACATGCATTTGATTAACTCAACTAGACGGATAGGAAGGATTTGATTTTGACCAGTTTGGTTTCGCGTGCTGTTACGGGTATGAGGGCGGTTGTCACTTCCCGGCTGCCCACACCGTGGAAGGGTTTTTTTGTGGAACCTCAAAAGGAAGGTAGATTAGTGTTGGTCTTAGAGAGTAAGTCTTAGAGACCTGGGAGCATGAACACAGAGTCCAAGGGACAACTGCTTGAGCCCGGTCACGCATGGCCTTTTTATGAAAGGTTTTTTGAGTATTAGCTCCGTTCTTAAAGGCCCTTAGTGGGCACCCTTACCCAAGGAGACGGAAATTCGTGAGGTAGGGTGAGGTGTGATATTTTTAGGGTCGACCTTTTCCAAACCCTTCCTTCCTTGTGAGAATGCAGCATCGCTGCAGATACTGGATGTCCGAGGGAAACACCTTACTGCCGTCACACCCCTCTGCAGTCAGCAGTACGACTTCGCCCTCAGACCTTGGGTAGCTTATTTTAGTCTCATCGTTCTCCAATCGACCTGCCTAGCATGGTAGGACCTCCAGGAACATATGTTGCAGCCAATATAGTTCGGTTGGGTCATCACGATCGGTAAGCCCGACCACAACGTCAAGGTAGCGGCTACGGTCGGGCATCCAAATGAACATTAAGAGTGACGTCATCTTGTCTGGTGTAATGATGTTCGACTTTTCATTTGTTCTTACATGTTTTTTAGCCCATAATTGATTTCTGTTCATTGTTAGTTTAAGTGACTATTTTTACTGTTCTTATAAAACATGGCTAATGTTTATTTATTTAAGCAATGTTTTTTTTAATTTTTGTCTTGACACTGTCAGAAAGTTATGGTCGCCCAAATCGAGGCGGAATGGGTGCATTCGGTGGACAACGACAAAGTTATCATCCTCCTGGACTGTCACGAGAACAATTAAATGAACCTATTACTACTACTACTGCTACTGCTGCTAAGGATCCTCAGTCAAATTCTACTGACTCAATCAATAGTGGATCAGGTGGTGATCGACCAAAATTAAATTTGAAAATGAGAGAAACTCCAATCAATACCAATGATAATCGACAATTGTCAGAACGGGCTCGTGCAATATTCGGAGTTGGACGTCCCCGAGAAGCTAGTCCAGTTCGAGAAAAGTAATTGACAGTGTTCATTTGAATTGTTTTGATCCGGATATGGTAGTAGATAAGTTCTATTGTTATTCTATAGAATCTTACAAGGTTTTAAAGTAAAATCCGTCTGGTGTAAGCATCGTAGATTTTTAATCAGTTGGTCATATGCAACATACTATTTGAATCAGTTGAAGTGACTACATCACTTTAACACTATCCGAAAGGTCAAATAAAAGGGGATAGATTCGAATCTGTGACTGCCATCACTGTATTCTGTGTTTACAAAACGCGCACACACTGATTTATTTGACCTCACTATGTTAGAATAAAAAACCATCTCGATATATGTTTCGTTTATCTGGAAACCCTAATGTCACTTCCCAGGGCCTCGCTTGTGTAGGTTCAACGTTTAGTTCTAAAGCAAAAGTACCTCTGTTAGACTGAATCTCAGTAGATAGTCGCTTATGCGCTGTCTGACTAAACGGGACTGTAAGGACTCAGAACGACTGGAATACTCGCCGTTGCCTTCTGGTTGTCTCTCCCTACGCTCTCACTGATTGCAGCTCAGATAAGTTAGGAGATGAATTCTGCAAAAAGCTATCGTACCTCCTTCAAAAAGTTAGGCGCTCTGCTGTAGTAATACTAGTAGGTGGCTTTACTGCGAAACTGAACAACCTCCGGAAATCTGAAGCGAGGACGAGCTGCAGGTCCTGATAGACTGACCCCTGAGATATTTAAGGATGGTGGTCCAGTTTTAGCAGCTAGATTGACTAAGATCTTAGGTGGAATCTGGGAACTGGACGCAATCCCATCCGACTGGTCTCAATCACTGATTGTCCCAATCTATAAGAAAGGACAGAAGTCTTCTTGTGACAATCATAGAGGAATAAGTCTAACTAATATAGTATCTAAAATATTGGCCTCAATAATACTTCGACGCTTAACGAAAGCTCGTGAAGAGCAGACTCGAGAAAACCAGTCTGGTTTTCGACCTGGACGTGGCTGTATAGACCACGTCTTCACACTACGACAGGTCCTGGAACACAGACACACATTTAGGCGTCCTACAATAGTTGTTTTCCTGGACCTTAAGGCGGCATTTGACTCTGTTGATCGTGAGGTTCTGTGGCAGTGTCTGTCATTGAAAGGTTTGCCAAAGAAGTACATTAACCTTATACAAGCTCTTTACTCGAACATCACTGGTCGAGTGAGGGCTTATGGCGAACTGTCACCGGAATTCTCTACATCAAGTGGTGTCCGTCAGGGATGTCCACTTTCTCCATTCTTGTTTAATTTTATCATAGACATGCTCCTAGAAATAACCTTATCGTCGTCTGAATTTTCAGGAGTAGACCTTCTACCAGGTGGCTCGCTTATTGACTTAGAATATGCCAGTAACATAGTCCTACTTGGTGAAGACGCTGACAAAATGCAGAGTCTTCTGACTACCCTAAGCAACAATGCAAGCATGTTCGGGATGCGGTTTCCCCCCTCGAAATGCAAAATGTTGCTTCAAGACTGGGTTGTATCGGCACCTGAACAAGTGATATGGAGTGAAGTGCTTGAGCGTGTAGATCGCTCCACTTATCTGGGGAGTATCTTCAGCACCGATGGTCTGGTGACTGACGAAATCTCGGCACGGATATAGAAGGCTCGATTGGCTTTTGCCAACCTGCGTCACTTATGGCGTAGGCGAGATTCCGTTTGCTGACTAAAGGACGTGTGTACTGCGCAGTGGTTTGCTCCGTTCTCCTATATGGCTGTGAAACAAGGCCAGTGAGAGCAGAAGATACTCGTCGGTTATTGGTTTTCGATCATAGGTGTCTTCGAAGCATTGCTCGTATATCGTGGGACACCCGAGTGAGCATCGCTGTTATTAGGAAACGAGTACTAGGTAAGGATGGCAGAGCAATAGATGAAGTGGGTGAAACTTCATCAGTTGAGGTGGCTGGGACACGTGTTGCGTATGTCTAACCAGCGACTGCCTCGTCGAGCTTTGTTTTGTAGTGTAGGAATAGGTTGGAAGAAAGCTAGGGGCGGCCAGACCAAAATATGGCATAAATCCATGAAGTCATTGACGAGTGGACTTAGCCATGTCGGTAATTGTCGACTACCTGGTTGGGGTCCGCGAGATGATAATAATCGATGGTTAGAGACCTTGAATGACATGGCTCAAAATCGTTCGCAATGGCGCCGATGCATTTATTCTGTGTTCTCTCAAATCCTAATCTTCTGGATTCTTCAACACCTCTAGTTTTGACTTTCTAAACTTTTCTCACTAAACCATACTTCTTGAATAGTATCTTCTAATCCTAAACTCTCCGATTACTTCTAATTCCCTTACTACCTCTACTACTACTGGATTTGAATTGACAATTATATCTCTGTGCTGATGTGGTATGGCGACATGAACTGATGTACTTACGTACGAAGTTCTACGTTGCAACTGACTGACTGACTGACTGAACAACCTCCGGGTGGATCTTATGGTATTGCAACTCAAAGAACAGATAATGACGACCGTCTGCTGCAACTGTGCTCAGATAATCGCTTATTTCTAGCACTAATACTAACTGTAAACATAAGGAAAAACTTACCTCAACTGACTAAATCTGTGATTTGATGTGTTTTTTTTAAGTGTGTGAATTACCTTTAAGGATGGCAGGCCAATAGATGAAGTGGTGAAACTTCATCAGTTGAGGTGGTTGGGACATGTGTTACGTTTGGCTAACCGCACACTGCCCTGTCGAGCTATGTTTTGTGATATAGGAATAGCTTGGACGAAAGCTAGGGGCGGCCAGATCAAAACATGGCAGAAATCCATGAAGTCACTGACAAGTGGACTGAGTTATGTTGGTAGGTGTCGACTTCGTGGTTGGGGTCCGCGAGATGTTAATAATTGATAGTTAAAGACCCTGAATGACATGGCTCAAAATCGTTTGTGATGGTGCAGGTGCATCCACTCTTTGTGTTCTCTCAAACCCTAACCTTCTGAATTCCTCATCATCTTTCTCTTTCTAAAGTTATCTTACTGTATTATACTTCTCGGATCATGTCTTCAAACCCTAATCATCTCCATTACTGCTAATAATTCTACTACCTCTACTACTATTATGGGATTTGAATTGACAATTACATCTCTGTGTTGATGTGGTATGACAACATGAACTGATGTACGTACGTACGTGCGAAGTTCTATGTTGCCATTGATCGATCGATTGATTGATTGAAGCACCTTGAATTCGGCGTTTCATCTTTCAGCTTACTTAGTAATGAATCATCATTTCTATTTGTTTTATTTTTGTACATTTTTTTTTCCGGTAATTTTGTTTGTATTTTTTTTTCTCTCTATTTTTTCTTTCAAATTACAGAATAAATTCTGACGGAAACACAACCGGTTCTAGTTAAATTAGGGCGAGATTAAAAAAAAACGGAAAAAGTAAAGATGATCAACACACACACTCACACACTCACATACACACAGTGTAGTTATTTATATACCACAAATCGATTTTCTTTTTTTTTCACAACTGTTTTCGTCAGTCCTGTGCCGCACCCCCACTTCAACCCCCTTCCTTTTTTTTGATCAAAGAAAACCGTCAAACTACATATTCTTTTTCCCCTTATTCCATCTTACATACTACATATATAAATATATATGTATACATAAATGTATTTGTGTATTTGTGAGCTAATTTCATTGCCCAAAACATTGATATCACTGTTTTTGTTTTTCTACACCGCCCCCGCCCCACGGCCTCCTGCTCCACTTTATCGCATTATATGCAAAAAACATGTGTAAACTTTATTAGTACACTACAACTCATTTTGTTTCTGAATATTCCACCAAAAAATGTAAACAGATATTGTCCAGTCCGGTTTCTTCTCTTCTTCTGCTTCTTCTGTTATCGTTGCTGTTGTTATTGTTGTTGTTACGGTCAGCGCATTAATCAGTATTTGATTGTTTGTCCTTACACAGTGTCTGTTGTATTGTTGTTGTAGTTGATGTAGTTTGATTGTATAAAATCGAATCAAATCAATCTTCTTGAGATTTACTTCATTACCTACTTACTTACTGACTTCCTTAATCTCTTATAATACACAGTGTATTCGTGTCTACATTCTCTTTGTGTGTATGTGCTTGTGCGTGCGTGTGTGTGTGTGTACATGTGTGTAAGTGAATTGGTTCGACTGACGTTCTTTATCTCATCATTTGAACAAACACTTCTTCATCATTGTCGTTGTCAATCATCACACATTTCTAACTATATTGAAATTCTTATTTTCTGTCCGTCCGTCTATGTTCTCTATGCACTAATGCACTAATTGAATACTTTTTCTTTTGTATTGTATACGAAAACAGTGTAGTTGTAAAAAGAAGAAAAAAAATGTGAAAAACTTATTCAAAATAACAATTGTTGTAATCTTCTGTTTTTGAATATGATAATAATCGTATCAGAAAAACAAAATTAAATAATAATAATAATCTTAAAAAATAAATGTGCTTTTTTCTATTCCTATTAATAATCGACTTGTTTTTTTTTGCTAATAAGGATGAATAACTGCTTTACTCTATACTATTTAGACTCAGTGTTACACCGTTTTTTTTTGGTGGGTACAGGAGATTCCCTCCTTAGAGGGAACCCTTGATTCTATACTAATAGTGCAGCATATGAGCTTCAGAATGCCAAAGCAACATAAATGCCAGAGAGGAGCTACTGTGGGATTGGTTATTTTAACAGTTTGTTGTACTGTTTTGTCAATTTGAACCTCTAGGCGCAAAGGCTTGGGGAGTTGGCCCTGTTTTTGAACACCCTCCGAGATAGTAGTATCCTACTTAACTCACTGAAAGATTCATTAATTCGTGTGGCGCGCATAATAAATAGTTAGGTTGCCCCTTTTGTATGCAATGTTTATCTATGTTGAAATTAAATAAGTATTGTTTACAAAAATAATTTGAAGGTGGTTGGGACATGTGTTGCATGCATATGCCTAACCACCAACTGCCTCGTTGAGCTATGTTTTGTGATGTAGGAGTAGGTTGGAAGAAAGCTAGGGCCTGCCAAACCAAAACATGGCAGAAATCCATGAAGTCACTGACAAGTGGGCTGAGTCATGTTGGTAGATGTAGACTACTTGGTTGGAGCCCACGAGATGATAATAATCGATGATTAGTGACCCTTGAATGACATGGTTCAAAACCGTTTCCAATGGCGTAGGTGCATTCATGCTTAGTGTTCTTTCAAATCATAACCTTCAGAGTTCTTCATCACTTTATCTTTTTTTAAGTCTTTTTCACAAAATTCTAATTCTTGAATAATAATATCTTCTAATCCTAACCTCTCCGATTACTTCTAATACCCTTACTACCTCTACTACCGTTTGGATTTGAATTGACAATTAGATGTCTCTGTGCTAATGTGGTTCTATGGCAACTTGAACTGATATATCTACGTACGTACGTACGTAGTTTTACGTTCCTATTGATTGATCGATTGATTGACAAAAAATAATTTCTCTTGTTTTTATTTTATTTTCTTTTCTATAGATTTACACTTTTGCCAAATGGGTAGACGTTTTATCTGTGATTATTGTGATAAATCATTCCCTGATAATCCAGTGAATCGTAGAAATCACTTGAAAGGTGTACAACATCAACAAGCTCGAAAATTACATTATGATAAATTTCTTGGTATGTTTTATTCTACATATATATCTCTATGAATAGATCCTAAAGAGAAATTAAGCATAGAGAAATTGAAAAAACCATGTATCACATTTCGTAATACAGGTTAGTTTATGTAGTATATATATATATATATATATATATATATATATATATATATATATATATATATATATATATATTGAATCCCTTAATACCTTTACCAACTAGGTACATGTAATTATGGTCCATTGTGTAAATATTCTCATTTGACCATTCAAGAATATCGTGATTTAGAAGAGAAAGCCAGTAAGTGATGAGATATTTTCCTCCTCTAAATCATTTATTCATATTTAGATGCTGAACTACTTGTTGCGTCTTATTTAAATCATTTAACTACTGAATTGAATATTGAACAACAAATTAAATTATTAGAAACAAAATTATTATCCAAACGTTCTGATGATCCACAACAACACCACCATCAATTGACCGATTTTCAATCAACGCGTAAATTTCATATTCCTCAAGGTATACAACTCTTATGTTTACCGCCTTCCTTGTTGTCTTAACACATTCAATATTCGCAGGATTGTTTTGCAATGGCGTGCAGGTGTATCCACTGTTTGTGTTCTATGAAATTCTCAGCTACTGCATTCCTCATCATCTCTATCTTTCTCTCTTTCGAAATTGATCTTACTGAATTATACTTCTCGAATCATAACTTCGCTCCTTAATCTTCTTCATTACTGCTAATACTTTTACTATCGCTATCACTGTTCGATTTGAACTGACAGTTACGTCTCTGTGCTAATGTGGTGGTATGGCAACCTGAACTGATGTAGTTACACACGAGGTTCTGCATTGTATCTGTCTGTCCCCCCCCTCATATGTATATAATTTTAATTTTTTTGAAATGATTGTGTTATTTATTATCAGCAGGTTTTTTTGTGCAATACAAACTAAACTATACATGTTGTTTTTAATTAATATAGGGAAAGCAATTACACTGTATTTTGATGTATTCTTCAAATACTTCTCAAAGTAATATGCACTAATTATTCAAGTTTATTGATTTCATTTTAGACTACATAATACTAGATGTTGCAAGTTGAATAAATCAATCAGTCAGTCAGTCAGTCAGTCAGTTAGAACGTAGAACTTCATACGAGATATCCGTTTACTGACTAAAGGATGAGTGTATTGCGTAGCAGTTCGCTCCGCCGTACGTTATGGGTGTGAAACGTGGCCGGTAAGAGTAGAGGACACTTGTAGGTTGCTTGTCTTCGATCATAGGTGTCTCTGAAGCATTGCTCTTATATCCTGGGACAACTGAGTAAGCAATGCTTGAGTTAGGAAACGAGTTCTAAGTAAGGATGGCAAATCAATTGGTGAAGTAGTGAAACTTCATCACAGTTGAGGTGGTTGTTGGGACATGTGTTACGTATGCCTTACCACCCACTGCCTCGACGAGCTATATTTTGTGGTGTAGGAGGACCGCTAGGGGCGGTCAAACCAAAACAGCACAAATCTATGAAATTAATGACAAGTGAACCGGGTCATGTTGGTAGATATAGGCTATCTGGTTGGGGTCCGCGAGACCTTGAACAATATGGCTTGAAATCGTTTGCAATGGCGCAGGTGCATCCATTCTTTGTGCTCTCTCATATCCTAATCTAGAATCGTCAGTACTTTCTCTACCTTTGTCTTTCTAACCTATTCTCACTGAATTATACTTGAATAACATTTTCAAACCCTAGTCTTCTTCATTACCATTAATACCTCTACTATCTTTATCACTATGTGGTTTGATTTGACATTTGCGTCTTTGTGCTAATGTGTGGTATGGCAACATGAACTTGTGTACATACGTACGAAGTTCTACGTTGCAATTGACTGACTGAAAAGATAGATTATAAGGTATTTGAAGTCTTTGTATTCATCAAAGTCATCATTTATACAATCTAGGTAATACTTATTTACAAACAAATGGTTCCTAAAAAATAACCTTTGCCCTGCATTGTATTATTGTATGCAGCAGTTGCCAACGACCTTGAATGCTATAATTCGATAAATTAATTGGATATCATGATTGTTGTTCTCTGAACTATTTGAACAAAAAAGTTACACTGAATAAAATTATTGATTGTCCTTTCCTTTGTGCATGAACTCACATCAGTATTGTTATTTTGTCGTTGGATGTCCGTGATACACGTGAACGGATAATACTACTACAAATTTGGTTGAATTTTCCCCTAGAAACTCCGCCAGTAGAACGTCCGGGGATACTGCCGGTCCCAAGCCCCCGGATAAAGGAGCAGGGTTGGACAAAGGATTGGAGACTCCATTCCGTCAAAAACTAACTTGTCAAAAACGCTAACCAGAAAAAATAATTCAAACCATTTTAACTCTGCCCTCGGAGTTGGAAGAAGAATTATGACGTCGCCTGATGAAAGCCGATTTCCCTCGGGAGTCAATCGTCGAGAAATGTTCACCAAAGGATTTGACGATTCTTATTGGAGACCTGAATGCCAAGGTTGGAATGGAAAACACTGGATATGAAGACATCATGGGACGACATGGACTGGGAGAAAGGAACGAAAACGGTGAGAGATTTGAAAACCTATGTGCCTTCAACAAACTGGTCATCGGTGGCACAATATTCCCGCACAAACGCATACACAAAGCTACATGGATTTCACCGGATCACACTACTCAAAACCAGATTGACCATATCTGTATCAACAAAACGTTCAGAAGGACCATGGAGGATGTGAGAACCAGGAGAGGAGCTAATATAGCCTCAGATCACCATTTGTTGATCGCTAAAATGAAACTGAAACTAAAGAAGCACTGGACAACGGGGCAGACAGCATCACAGAAGTTTAATATGGCCTTTCTTCGAAATACTGTAAAGCTCAGCGAATTCAGGATAGCCCTCACCAATAGGTTCCAGGCCTTTCAGGATCTACTCAATGGAGAGGAAGCAACATTGGAGAACAATTGGAAAGGGATTAAGGAGGCAATCACTTCAACATGTCACGAAGTTCTGGGTCACAAGAAGTACCATCACAAGGAATGGATCTCTGTTGATACTCTTGCAAAAGTTGAAGAAAGGAGGAACAAGAAGGCAGCAGTGAATGTCAGCCGAACGAGAGCAGAGAAAGTTACCGCACAAGCTGAATACACAGAAGCAAACAGGGAAGTGAAGAAGAGCATCAGAGCTGACAAACGAAAATATGTGGAAGATCTACCAATGACGGCGGTAAAGGCTGCAAGAGAAGGAAACATGAGACAGTTGTACGAAACAACAAAGAAGCTCGCCGGAAACTATCGTAAACCAGAACGACCAGTGAAAAGCAAAGAAGGCAAAGTAATCAGCAACACTGAAGAACAGAGAAATAGGTGGGTAGTGCACTTTAAGGAACTATTGAATCGACCAGCTCCACTGAACCCACACAACATCGAAACAGCATCCACGGACCTCCCAATTAATATTGGCGCACCTACGATTGAGGAGATCAGCATGGCCATCAGACAAATCAAGAGCGGCAAAGCAGCCGCACCAGACGACATTCCAGCAGAGGCAATGAAGGCAGATGTAGAAGCAAATGCGAAAATATTTCACATTCTCTTCAAGAAGATTTGGGATGAGGAACAAGTACCATCAGATTGGAAAGAAGGATACCTCATCAAAATACCAAAGAAAGGCGATCTCAACAAGTGTGAGAACTACAGAGGCATCACTCTTCTTTCAATACCAGGCAAAGTCTTCAACAGGGTATTGTTAAACAGAATGAAGGACTTCGTAGACGCCCAACTTCGAGATCAACAGGCCGGATTTCGTAAGGATCGATAGTGTACTGACCAAATTGCTACATTACGGATCATTGTGTAACAATCAATTGAATGGAACTCACCACTCTACATCAACTTCATCGACTACGAGAAAGCATTCGATAGCGTGGATAGGAAAACACTGTGGAGGCTTCTTCGACACTACGGGGTGCCTGAGAAAATAGTTAACATCATACGGAATTCTTATGATGTATTCAACTGCAATTTCATACACGAAGGACAGCTGACAGACTCATTTGATGCGAAGACCGGTGTCAGGCAAGGTTGCTTACTCTCACCCTTTCTCTTTCTCCTGGTGATCGACTGGATTATGAAGACGTTGACATCTGGAGGGAAGCACGGTATCAACTGGACAGTTAGGACGCAGCTGGACGATCTGGACTTCGCAGATGACCTGGCTCTTCTATCGCACACGCAACAACAAATGCAAGAGAAGACGACCAGTGTAGCAGCAGCCTCTGCAGCAGTAGGTTTCAACATACATAAAGGAAAAATGCAAAATTCTCCGATGCAACACAACATGCACCGACCAAATCACGCTTGATGGAGATGCCTTCGAGGACGTTAACAACTTTACATATCTGGGCAGCATCATCGACGAGAAAGGTGGATCGGATGCAGATGTGAGGGCGCGGATATGCAAAGCAAGGGCTGCATTTCTACAGTTGAAAAATATCTGGAACTCCAAACAACTTTCAACCAAAATCAAAATCACGATTTTCTATACAAATGTGAAGACAGTTCTACTGTATGGAGCGGAAACATGGAGAACTACCAAAGCCATCATCCAGAAGATACAAGTGTTTATTAACAGTTGTCTACACAAAATACTTCGGATTCGTTGGCCAGACACCATCAGCAACACGTACTGTGGGAGAGAACAAATTAGATTCCAATGGAGGAGGAAATCAGGAAGAAGCGGTGGAGTTGGTGGATAGGACACACACTACGAAAATCACCTAACTGCGTCACGAGACAATCCCTCACATGGAACCCCCAAGGTGAGAGGAAAAGAGGAAGGCCAAGGAACACATGAGGCGGAGAAATAGAGTAAGGTATGAGAGGAATGAAGAAACATTGGACAGGACAGTGTTGGTTAGAGGGTAACAGGCGTAAGTAAGTAAGTATACCCATAGAGCGTAGCTAGCACATATAATAACTGTCACCGTTAGTTTCTACAACACGTCGACATGAGGAGATGAAATGGACACAATAAAAAAGTCACGGGCTTAGTAATAGTGATAATGAGAATAACTGAACATGGGAGATTACAATTCCAACTCCGACTGGAACTCCTCTAGTTCTACTGCCGGTCCTAAGTCCGGATAAAGGAAGAGGGTTGGGCATGGGGTTTGGCGACCCTATCGCACAAAATAGTTGATGTGTTCGTGTTAATATGTCTGATTCTGATTAGCAAGTTATAATTTAGTATGACTACTGGAAGGTGTATGAGAAATTTTATCATGAGATTTTTGAAAACACTTTTATCTTTGTGATTACTATGATGAAACGGTGTTGAGATAAGATAAAATGAAACTAGTCTGGGTGACCGAGTTTATACTACCACTGCATTGGATCCTTGAATGGCACATTACACAGTGTCCGGATCACGTTGAATCAGGCACACGATTCACGACTAAATTAAAGAACCAGAGTAAGCGATAGACAATACTTTATTCTACACAACTTCAAGCTGTCACTTTCATGGAGTCCGGAGGAGAAGTCGATATCAGAGAAGGGAACTACATGTTTTCATAGTCAGTAGGCGAAGAGTCTGTCGGTCCATGCCCAGTGACCAATCAGATCTCGCTTTCACTACCACACATCAGACGGAAGTCACCAACCACGTCACAAGGCAAGTACCAACTTGGAATCCGCAGGGCCAATAGCAAAGAGGAAGATCAAAGAACACATTGCGCTGAGAACAGGAGGCAGGTGTCAAAAGGATGAATAGCTTTTGAGAACAAGTGAAAAGGAGAGCCCAGGGAAGAGTTAGTTGGAGAATTCTAGTTGGTGGCCTATATTTCGCAGGAAGTAACAGGCGTAGCTACGACACAGAGATAAATCTGGTTTTTTCCACAAGTTAATATCATACGATTAAAACTTCAGGAAATAATACTTCTACTACCAATACTACTCTGG